CCGGCGACTACTGTAGTAAAGATTTCTGATCTCAAACGATAGTACAACCAGCCCGTTGCACATCGACTAGTGTTGAACTTACTGATGCTTATTAACCCAAAAAACCTGGTTTCAACCCTCAGATGCTTCCATAACCTAGTTGACGATCGCTAAAAAGCCAGATATGGTCACCCGTCTCCCTTTTCTTTGTTTTAACTCCTCTCAGTGTATATTCTTGATCGCCGGGTGACTGCCTCCGTGGCTCTAGATCGAGTATGTCTTGAAAACTAATCGGTGAGCACACTTCCACCGCAGTTCATATTCCCAGTCGCAGTAGACGGTGCTGCGGGATTGCGACTCAATGGTAATATGCCATACTTAATTACCCTCAGTAGCCAGAGACTTCGCCAACTCGTTACCCAATATTCATTCGTCTAATCCTATTTAGCCTGTGTACTTTTTTCTCACATGACCCACAATATCATGTGACATTCGCACTTTTTCGCAGTCTTGTCTGTCATAAACCTCAAAGTTTTTATGTGGCAACTGGAGTCTGCACAGTATCGAGAACTTCCGGATCTTCCTACGTTAACGTTTACCAACCACAGCGGTGCTGATGGCAGACTCTGCAGCTCCTGTCCTCCGAAATTAATTGTTTGCATGCCCTCCGGAAATAAAGCACAGCATAGTTGCCCATTTGCCATAAGATGTCATCCTAGACCCGCCCCCGCCGACAACTGCCATGATTGCTCGTAGCCAAAGAAATGGTAACTCTCGTTGCGTGCACTCTAACCAACTGCAGACTTACTGTTTACTTGTACAGACCTGAGGATAACTTACAAGGTCATGTTACCAATCTCTGTTCTGAGTCTGTCCGTTTTTCTTAACTGCCGTTCCACCGACATCTTGGAGCAATCTACTGCTCTTGGCGATTGTTACCATCCAATGAGACTGTTATAGCCCAGTTAGTTCTGCGTCTCCAGTTGTTATAGCCTAGTTTATTCTGACCCGACTAGTAGGCAGAAGAAGGCAAGAGAGCGGTTCTGATCGGCAATGGCTGTATTCAACAGTACATAAAGACTGTGTAGCGTGCGGGGTCTGCTGAGTCGTCGGAGTCGTCCTTTAGCTTGTCCACTCCG